CAAAACCTGCCCCAGTGCAATCTTGCAAGCTGGCTTAAGATACAGATCCCATGGCCAGGGACCTTGCTCAAGTTTTCACTCTTTTTTCCCCTTGTTCTCATGCCAGAGTACCAATGGCAGATGAACCATAACTAAGTCCCACTGAACCAATTGCTGTGGGAGGTGCAAACTACCTTCTACATCATGGGTTCTCAATATGCTATAAAAACTCCACGGCCCACCTGGGCCACAATAATGGCTTTTCTGCACATAAAAGCCAGGGTCAGTGTTAGAGGTTAGCAAGCAGGTCAGTCAGCTGGGGCCTTGTGCTACAGGGGCTCCCACAAAGCTACATTGCTCAGGCTCCGGCTTCAGCCCTGGGTGGTAGGGCTCAGGGCCTGGGCTTCAGCCCCATGTTCAGGGCTTCAGCTTTCTGCCCTGGGCCCCAGTGAGTCTAATGCTTGGTGCGCCTCCCCCTCCCCTCCCCCAGGGTGGCCTCAGGCCCCTGGATGAGAACCACTGTTCTACATCTCATTAGGGTGTTAATACCAGCATCTGACCTCCTGAAAGAGTGCAGGATCCCCTATTCGCTTCCCCCCAAGCAGAAACACTGCCAGCTAGTGGGATACGTACTGGGGGCCCATCCCTGCCTTCCGATGAAGGCAGGGGCACTAGGGGTGCTTGTGGGGAACAAATGGGGTCAAGGTCTGTTGTTTCCACCACCCCTTCAATGTGGGGTGGTCTTGGCAGCGGGGGAGGCAAAGGGGGCTAAGCTAGTGTGGGGGAGCTGGCATTGTTGTGGTGTACATAGGGCCTGGGGTTGCCTTGATCCAGTTCTTCCTGGAGTTTCCCTGGGTGCTAGAGCCATAAACAAATACTCCCCTCCTCCTGCAAAGGTGGGACGGTGAAAACAGAAAGCCTTTAGATGACTCAGCTCCTCAGAGACAAAAGAGGCTTAGGAAACAAATCTGGCACTGCAACTAATCACTCTGTGTACACTGAATTTCAGTGTTAAATCTAGCCGGGGCATTACAGGTGGCCTGGGCTACTCATGGCTCTTCTATGGCTGAAATAGCTGTACCTTACACCTATGGGACACTTTGTGTTAAATTCCTTCTTGCTATGCCCATGGGGTGGGGGTTCTGCTGCTGCAGCCCTCTCTGGACATGCTACATCTGCACACTGTCTAATGTTCTCAGTAGTCTCAGAGAGACTGGCGATTAGGTGCGTTCTACAGCTGCCCCTACAAGTGCATCAGGGCTGTCCCTAAATTACAACTCCTCCCTTTGTCCTCTGCCTTCTGCACTTACATCCTTCCCCCAGCTGGTGTAACTTCATCACTTCAGGTGATGCAAACTCTAAAATCTTGGTAACTACCCCCAAAGTGCTTGTCATCTAGGCTGCCAAACTATTACTGGATGGCACTGACGGTCAGTTGCTACTGCTCAGAACTACAGTCGGTTAAAGGCTCTGTGCTGTTAATCCAGTCATTGTAATGCTCTTCATAGTCACCTGAGGGTGTTTCAGGGGTCCAAATAGAAGCTATTTTTTAAACTCAGTGTAGTTACAGCTTTTCCCTTCACAAACACTCCCTCCTGTTCAGACATATCTAATTCTGCTACCCATTCATGCTGCCTTTTAGAGGGGGAGAAATGAAGCTACTGGTTGAAAACTGGTTCATAACCTGCAGCTGTGTGTGGTGGCAGCATGTCTACGTTCTGCTCCATAGACCCCTCATTCCTTTGACCGCCACTGGCAATCTGGAAGTGTCACCATATCATAATGACCTGTCCATGGTCCAGTGCTGTGATGCACCAACCAGAAGTTGCTTGCTGATGGAATGTGTGTGTTTGCTTTGATTCATTTGAAGGAAAGGTGCAAAAGAGAAACTGGGGGGTGGGTGGACAGTGCTTTTTTTCATGCCATGTAAAGAAGGCGCACACAGCTTGTTCTGCCTCCTCTGCGCCCCGCCCCGCCCCAACCCTCTTCCTCTGATTAGCATGGGTATTTCTTGCCTTTAGAAATGTAGGTCTTGTTGACCCTGGAAGAAGCAACGTTGACTAAAAAACTAGTGCAATCATATCCTAAGAAGCTAGAAGCTGCTGCAGTTAAGAAGGGTGTTTTAGTTGAAGAGTTTGGCAGACAAAGCCATGGCACAAATGAGGGATATCAGCCCACAGTGTTGCATCCAGGGCCAATTAATATGGAGTATTGACATTAACAACAGAGAGCCCTTCCTGGTCTCTCCAGTATCAGTTTAAATGTGGACAGGCTTCAGCCAGTCTGGGCTGCCAAACCCATCTTGGAGAAGAGCTTCCATGTCGGAAGCTGCCCCAAGGCTCTTGCTGGGTGGCCTACTGGTTGAATGTTAGCTCTGGACACAGCACCCTGGGCACGTTGGGCCATGGGTGGTGTAATATGAGGCCATCAATTCCTGTCGTAGGTGCCTTTTCCTCCTGCATGGAATATTCTCTAGAATTCAGCAAAACCCACCTCTAAGAAGTGCTGAACATTGGAAAGTCAACCCTGGAAACCCCCCTAACCACTTCAAGAAAATGTTTATAAATGTTCAGTGATTTTCTTCTGGGGTTTGAAGAAGCACTGATAAGTGTGGTGCCCAGAAGTCTTGTGCTCTTCCCCCAGGCTCTCATGAGACCCCTGATGTCAGTTTATTGTGAGAGGGCCAGCAACAGGCTCAGAAATGCCCACTAGAGTTAGGCCTGGCAAGAGAAGAATGACCCATCCCAGTGTCTTTAAGCCACACTAGAGCGCAGACTTGACCAATAGTTTTGGGTATGATAACTTGGGTAAAATAAAAGAGTCCAATCTGCTGGGGTGACTCCAAATATAGGCGGGAGATATAATCGGTAGTCAGTAGGTAGTGCAGGGAGACACCATCACAGGCGAGGGCTGCATGGGTGAGGGGGTATTTCAAACATATTCCCGAAGGAATTTCCCCAGAGAGGAATATTTTCCTCAGAACGCTCTGCTGTCATTCAACGTCCCCGTGCAGAAGCTGCTTCAGGGAAACATTGAAGTCTTGTCCCTTTGGCAAGGAACACAAGTAGTATCTGTTCTTTCTCCCATTTCTGTTATACCCAGGCCAGAAGCACCATGTGGGAATGTAGCCCAAACATGCAAATGATGTGATTCCAGCCACTCCGCCACTGCTCAGGCTAGGAGCTAGGTAATTACAGAAATCCAGGCCAGCAGGTGCTTTAACCGCTTCAGCATTTGGGTTTCAAACATCTGTGTGCAGCATGTGCATGCACACACCTGTGTTCATGTGTGTGTCTGGTGCTCAGCCGTGTGTCTTCGTGTGTCTCTCTACTGTTCACCCGCGTGTGTCTCTGAATGGATGTGAATGTGTCTCTGTGACTCAGCTCTGTGTGTGCCTATATGTGCATGCATCTGTGTCCATGCATCTCTCTAGGGCGCTCACCCGGGTGTGCATGTGTGTGTCTGGGGCTCACCTTTGTGTGTGTGTGTTACTGTGTCTGGGACTCACCCTTGTGTGTCTGGGGCTCACCTTTGTGTGTGTGTGAGTGTGTCTGGGACTCACCCTTGCGTGTCTGTGTGTGTGAATGTGTCTGGGGTTCACCTTTGTGTGTGTGTTACTGTGTCTGGGACTCACCCTTGCGTGTCTGTGTGTGTGAATGTGTCTGGGGCTCACCTTTGTGTGTGTGTGTTAGTGTGTCTGGGACTCACCTTTGTGTGTCTGTGTGTGTTTGGGGCTCACCTGTGTGTGTGTGAGTGTGTCTGGGACTCACCCTTGTGTGTCTGTGTGTGTGTGTCTGGGACTCACCTTTGTGTGTGTGTGTTAGTGTGTCTGGGACTCACCTTTGTGTGTCTGTGTGTGTCTGGGGCTCACCTTTGTGTGTGTTAGTGTGTCTGGGACTCACGCTTGTGTGTCTGTGTGTGTCTGGGGCTCACCTTTGTGTGTGTGTGTTAGTGTGTCTGCGAATGTGTCTGGAGCTCACCTTTGTGTGTGTTACTGTGTCTGGGACTCACCCTTGCGTGTCTGTGTGTGTGAATGTGTCTGGGGCTCACCTTTGTGTGTGTGTGAATATGTCTGGGGCTCACCTGTGTGTGTGTGTGTGTTAGTGTGTCTGGGACTCACGCTTGTGTGTCTATGTGTGTGTGTCTGGGACTCACCCTTGTGTGTCTGTGTGGTGGGTGGGACTCACCTTTGTGTGTGTGTGTTAGTGTGTCTGTGAATGTGACTGGGGCTCACCTGTGTGTGTGTGAGTGTGTCTGGGGCTCACCTTTGTGTGTGTGTGTTAGTGTGTCTGGGACTCACCCTTGTGTGTCTGTGTGTGTCTGGGGCTCACCTTTGTGTGTGTGTGTGTGTCTGGGGCTCACCTGTGTGTGTGTGTGTGTTAGTGTGTCTGGGACTCACGCTTGTGTGTCTATGTGTGTTTGGGGCTCACCTGTGTGTGTGTGAGTGTGTCTGGGACTCACCCTTGTGTGTCTGTGTGTGTGTGTCTGGGACTCACCCTTGTGTGTCTGTGTGTGTGGGGGGGACTCACCTTTGTGTGTGTGTGTTAGTGTGTCTGTGAATGTGTCTGGGGCTCACCTGTGTGTGTGTGAGTGTGTCTGGGACTCACCCTTGTGTGTCTCTGTGTGTGTCTGGGGCTCACCTTTGTGTGTCTGTGTGTGTGTGTGTCTGGGGCTCACCTGTGTGTGTGTGTGTTAGTGTGTCTGGGACTCACCCTTGCGTGTCTGTGTGTGTCTGGCGCTCACCCTTGTGTGTCTATGTGTGTCTCGGGCTCACCTGTGTGTGTGTGAGTGTGTCTGGGGCTCTCTGCTGGGTCCTGTCTGTCCACCCGTCTGGGTCTCGGGGGTGCCAGCCTGGCCGCCTGCCTAGCCCACGTGTGTCCCCCCGCCCTGGACAGCGGCCATACGTACTGAGCATGCGCAGTACAACCTAGGGCGCACACACGGCCAGGGGGCCGTTTATGCTGCTACACCGGCCGGCGGGCCTGGAACCGCTGGGGCCGGAACGCGGGCGCTGGGGCGCGGGGCCGGGCGGGCCGGAGCGTCGCCGGAATTTCCGGGAACCGCGGTGAGTGTGGGGGCGGGGCGGCCCGGGCGGCGGGCCTGAGATGGTGAGTGCGGGCGGGCGGGACCGGGCCCTCGCCGCTGGGGGGATGGGAGGCCGGGGCGGGCTCGGCTCGGGGAGCCCACATGCAGCGCGGGGCGGCGGCCTATTCCCCGGGTCCCCGTAGTAAAGGGTCATGGGGGGGCCGCGGCGGGGGGGCGTGACCAGGGGCGCGGTTGGGGGTGGCGGCGGGGGGGGGGCTCTGGTGGGGGGGCGGTTGGGTGGCGGCGGGGGAGCCTGGCGGGGGAGCGGTTGGGGGGGTGGCGGCGGCGGGTGGGAGTCCTGGCGGGGGAGCGGTTGGGGGGGGCCGTGGCGGGGGGGGGCCCTGGCGGGGGAGCGGTTGGGGGTGATCAGGGTGGGTGCCTGGTTCAGTTCCTTCCAGTTTTGTGTAGTTCACTGAATGAATGTTCTTATTTTGGCAGTCCTTACTGGTTCTTACAGAGGGAAGAAATCAGTAACAAATATGTTGATATCACGACTAACTTCTCAATTAGCGAAGGCCTCGCGATTTGCAGGTAAACAGAACAGTGAAACTAAAATCCCCCTGAGTGCGTCTGTGTTAGAACTCCTAGTGCAAAACCTGATTTTGAAGTTTTCAGAGGTAATTAGACTTCCAGAGTTTCTTTTGCCCGCAGGCATTACAAGTCAGGAGAGTCAGTCGTTTGTGCTGAAGAACAGTAGGTCACTAATCCTGCTGATTGGTGTGTATTGACACTATTGTGAGGTTTTGCCTTAACTTTATACATGATCTTCAAGGGGAATTAATGTATTTGGGAGCAGGAGGGTTGAATGCTGAGATCTTTTCAGGTTCTTAGGATCTTTCTAGATCTGACTTTTTTCCTACTCTAGATGCGGGGGTAACCTCTTTAGCTTAATTTTAGCTGGTTGAATTGTACCCTTTTCCTTAAGGTAAAGTGCACGTTTTGCCTTAGTTCAACTCATGGGTAAATTACAGTTTAACGTCTGCATTCTTTAGTGTCAAACTGTTTTTGAACATAGTGGTCCAAATAATTATTTGAAATTTCCTGTGTATTTGAACTATGGGCCCACAAAAGCAACATCAGTAACTATATACTGTAGTTATGCCACTGTGGTACATTTAAGCCAGGTTTTTCCCTTTCTGCCCCTCCCTAGCCAAACACATGCCATGGACCTGATTTGTCATCCATCCCCTCTCTTGGGTGCACCACTAGGAGCTCCTCCAACACCTGAGTGAGGGAGAGAGACAGAGTTAGGCTGGGATCATCCCATAACCCACCCCTGATGCACTTGGCCCCAGCATTCCATTCTTTCTTCTGGGGAAACCATGAGATGCAGGAGTCTTCCATCTCCTGAGGAGTGGGAGGGGAAAAGAGATGGACTGGCCTCCCCTCAACAAGACCCGCATGCCCATATCTTCCCAGAGACAACATCCCACTGCTGCTGCAGGCTACTGTAGTAGAAGTCTGTGTTGCAATCCTGAAGGTTCAGGGTTCAAACCTGGCCAGTGGTGCACGATTTGTGGGTTGTTACAGCTGTACACAATAGAATGTGTTTTGTCTTTTTCTTTTGAATAAACAAAGTAGTTTTTTGTATGCAATTTTCTATGTTAACCTAAATTACTTTTTCTTGCAAACTCACCCACTCAGAAGTTAAGAAATGCCAGTTTTATGCCTCCCAATGCACTTTAATTTGACCCCTTGTGCATATGCATTGATACAGTCTTTAATTACGTGATTACGCACTATGTTTTCCACATGACCCCTACCTCATTCAGTGAACAGAATGGATGCACAAGGGGTGGCATTACAGTTACACAGGCAAGAGTAAATTTGGCTTCCAAGTGCTTGAATTTGCAACCTAAATAACTTTTAAAGTAGCTCTTTGGGTGTAATTTTAATATTTAGCTATTTTAAAGGTAGACACTCATGTTATGTGTTCTTCAAGAAGTTTAAACAAAACTTTTGTTTTTTTGAGGACATTTTTTGCCAAGATCAGCGTCTTCTGTGCTGTGCTCTGGTTCCACATCTGCAAATTACAGCACACAACCCTCTAATAAGAATGGAGCCCAACCTCAGCGCTGGTATGCACTGGACCCTGAACTGGAAGAAATTCTGATCCCCAGAAAAATGTCCATCAGCCCTTTAGAAAGCTGGCTGACTGTTAGATACTCCCTCCCTAAAGTGGAGATCATCAATGTTCATGAAAAGCTAGGTTATGAGCCTACCCAACAATATGACTGTCCCCCATGTGAAGGGGGAGCTGATGTGGAGGAAGAGGAAGGAGAAGTCAGCACTAACAAGGTTGAGTGTAAGAATGTGTTGAAGATCCGCAGGAGGAAAATGAATCGGCATAAGTACAAAAAGCTGCTCAAACGAACGCGTTTTTTGCGGAGGAAGGTACTAGATGGTCGCAGGAAGAAACGTCAGGTGAGATTGGGATCAACAGAGGCATATTTTCAAAAAGTGGCTGGCACTTTCTTTAGATATGGCTAGCAGTTTATGTGGTGCTTTTAATCTAGAATTGACTTGTGAAAAACAGCAGCAATCTGATTGGAGCAATTCCAGTGCATTGGGCTGGTGGCTTTGCAGATCATGCTGGTTTCGGAACCCTCTGAACTTTTTGGTTTGTTTTTTGACCTGGATGTCCTTGGCCAATTATTTAAAATTTGTGTAGCTGGAAAGAGATGTATTAAACTTTGAATGATACATCGCTATGCATGGTGATCTATCTTGACATTCAAATAATTTGAAAAGATGAATGGTTACGACTTCTTCAGTGGATAAAAATAATCTCTTGACATAGGCACCAACGAGTAGTACACATGCCCAAGATGTGTTTGGATAGTTGGTGTAATAATCATCTTCTACCTGTCTTGCCAGCATCCTCAACTGATGTGCACAGAACAGCCAGTGTCAGCAGCTGTAAGGAGAAAATATCACACTGCACTCCCGCCCAGAAGCATTTTACTTTCTAGAATGGGGTAGGAGGGAAGGACATGGGTCCACATTCAGACTGGTGGAGGCAGATGCAACTCCATTGGTCGTATGGGCTACTTAGCTCTGCCTTTCCATAGTCCATAGTTCTTCCATGCTTCAAATTTTCATCCCTGTTCTAGTCTTTCTCCCACCACACCTGTCCTTAGAAGGTGTTTGTGTCTTGTTAGTCCCAGTTAACCCCTTCAAGTTTAAAGAGCCAGTCTTAAAGGTCCCATTTCCTTTCTTGATCCCTACTGGATACTAGTTTTTTTAACATTTGATCTCGTTAAATATGTCTCCGTTTTCAGTATTTCTAATGGAACATTTCTAAAATGCAGTTATACGGCATTTGAAATGCATTTTCTGCGATAAGAACTGGAGCATATTCTGAGAAGCGGGATAGGCTGCCTAGGTAATGTACTGCTTCCTTCATACAGATAACACCCAGCTTCTCTTTAGGATACTTTTTATGCAGTGGGGTGTCTTGGTTTGAACATGTCACTTCCAAGAGAGCTCACAGTCGTCCCTTTTTCTTTCCAGGCAAAGTTTGAAAAAGATCTGAAACGCATCTGGAGGAGAGCTGGGTTGAAAAAGCCTTCTGAGGGCTGGCAGCTGCCCAAGATATTTGTGAGAACTAAATGACTGGAACACCTCAAATGTGTTTTGGCATTTAATTGTAATTAAAAGGTATTTAAAATAAGTCAAAGTTCTTTTAACTTTGTTCTGAATGATGAGTCCAGAGGTGTGTAGATGTTTAAAATCTTGGTGAGGAGATCATTCCGAACCCTGTGCAATACTGGCTGTTGAAATAATAAAATGCCATTTGCTGAAAAAAGCCTGTGGGCATAGTAACTAAAAATGACCTGAGTTAAAAATCAATTTGTGGGTTCATTCGCTCAAATCAGCCCTCTGTCTCCCAGCGCCAGCCCCTCTATCTAGCTGCATGGAGAAGAGAGGGGAAATAGAGCAAGTAAGGTTCTGAATAAAATGACCCAACCCACAGGACTTGCCAGTTCTGAGGAATATTCTCATGGAGTTCCAGTGAGAGCCAGATTTGGACTAATTTGCTGTGAGGGACTGAAATCAAAGCTGATCCAGCTGTTCTCAGTTTTCTTAGTGCAAGGCATAAGGCAGAAATGATTCTGCACATACCTTCCTCCTAGATCAGGGCCTTTTTGTATTGGTAATAAGTCCTTGAAGTGTAACCACCCTAGCACATAGTCTCCAGTCCCAAATGGGGGTATGAATGTGGTAGGCTTTGTTACCTTGGTGGAGATGGAATGAGAGAGTCACAAGTGTGATACAATAGTCTTAATGTAACGGAGGAAAGCATTCCCTGCTGCACCAATGGCCTCTGAGTGTGAGAGGGACTGCACCTCATACTGGTGCAGAAGACAGGGTCATTTGACCATCACATATCAAATGTTCCTGCAGGAGAAGCTCTCTGTTGGTTGTAAAATAGTGGCATACTGCCTGTTACATACCTGGGAGGCTTAATGTCTCATTCTCATCATACATCCTGCTACTTGCTTCTCAAGACAGCCTGTGAACAGCATTATTTCTGTAGCAGAGTTGGGGCAGGAGTGGAAGTTGCATTAATCAGCATTACAAAATACAATGCAGTTCCACTTGCTTGAAGCCTCAGTGTGCACCTTCTTCGAGCGAAAGCATTCAGCAACAGTCCTGAAGAGAAGAAGCAGCTAAAGATTTTTATTTGTATTCTCTGAACCATTTTTAGTGGGGGTCCAGAGTCCTGGTTTCTGGTTTTGGCCCTTCTTTGACTTGCACGGGGGCAAGTCACTTTCCTTCTCCATGCCTCAATCTTTCCATCTGTGAGGTGAAATACCATATCCCACCAGAGACAGGTGATGAAAACAATTAGAGGTGATGTCCTATGAAAAAAGATGGAAAAGACTGAGGCATTTTAGTTTGGAGGGGTTATGTTAGAGGTATACAAAATAATAAATGGTGCATAGGTGATAAATTGCATGCTCCTGTTCCTTCCTTCATAATCCAAGAATAAGGGGACACCTGATTAAACCAAAAGGCAACAAAATTAAAAGGCAATAAAAGAATATACTTCTTAAGTACATTGGCCTGTGGAACTCATTGCTACAAGGTAACATTTTTGATTAATTTCTGTTGTATCCTTCTGTAGGTCATCTGCCAATGCAACCAAAAGACACCTGCTACGCTTCTTGCTGTCAGTAGATGGTAGTAGAGTCAAGGCTCTCTGAAACGCCATAGGAGTTGTAGTAGGAACCTGCTGGCTAATTTTCTAGTTCTTGTATTTTAAAGAATTGGTGTGTGTGTGTAAAAATCATTATTCTTGACAGAAACATATTGCTATAATGAGAGGTTTATTAAATTGATCAGAGGGTAGCCATGTTAGTCTGTATCCACAAAAACAGTCAGGAGTCTGGTGGTACCTTTAAAGACTAACAGAATTATTTGGGCATAAGCTTTTGTGAGTAAAACCCCCCACTTCTTCAGATTAAATTGAAGTGACCCCTGAGAGACATGCAGAACTAGAACATTGCTACGGTTGGTGGGTTTTCCAGACTATAGGCTCAAGTCTGGTATTAGCAGGTGACTTTGATCAGCGCTTTAAAAACAACCCCCTGCCTCCTCGTAAAGCTTTAAAAAGGGCTACAGCTGCAGTTCTTTTTAACCAACTCAAATGGGGCTTTTTTCAGACTATTCCTTCAGGGCTCCAATCAACAAGGGGAGCACTTAACCCTCTGCCTTAAAAGGTCCCTATATATAATGCTGGCTCCTGACTTCAGGGGCATGGTTAATATTCAGCAGGCACCCAGGGGTCACTAAAGAGTCTGAATGTGTTACAGTGTAACTGCACAACAGTGCCTTGCTATCCGGTCCTTTCAGTCTGGCCTCTCTCTGAGCAGGCGCCTAGAGTATTAGCTCATTTGGAGTGAGGCCCTTGGGGTTTTTTTTATCCCTTCATGCTCATTCCTATGGGCTGTGTCCACAGCTCTGTCACTCCCGTTCCTGCTGCTTTTGGGACTGGCTCTTAGGCCTCTCGCTTATTGCCCTCCTGTCTGAACAGTCAATCTGTGTGTTTCTAGGGTGCTGGTTGCTGTGGTATCGGGGGTGGGGGGGAGAGGTCTTCAAAATTACAAGCAAAAACCTGTTCCAAAAGACTAGCTGCCTCCTATGCCTCGTTTAACACAGCTGTGCTGCTGTGATGTTCTCTGCTCTTGCCAGCCTGAGCAGACAGAATCCTGTGACTCCTGCTTTTAATCCAGAAACACTGATATGCCATCCCATCTTCCAGCCTAATGGGTGTGTGAGTGATTGGAATGTGGCACCTGGTGTGAGGTGCATGCGTCCCTGACTTTCCCTGTGATAGTCTGTGGAATATTGATAGTGGTGCCACAAACACGGTTGTACTCTCCCTCTTTTTGTAACTCGGCAGTGAACATACGGAGACTGGCCATGTACATCAAATACCCATGGCCATCTTAACCAATTCCCCCTCTGCCCCCATTTTACTACTTCAGGGGGTGCAGAGTTGGGGTCATGGCTTTGTGGGTTGTTCTGATCTCACTCTACCTTGGAATCTACTGGGCATGCCATAGGAAAGAACATAACATGCAAAGCTCTTTAGTCTTTGGGTAGGAGAGCAATGTCTGTCATTGTTGCACTGCCTGCAGTAGTCACTCTGGAAGGCTGTGGAACACAAAGCAGTTCACTGCAGTCATGTCTGGTAGCTCAAGAGTGGAGGGAGGGGACGTGTCATATTCTGGGATTAGCCCAATAGCGTTAAAGCCACCTCTTGATATGACAACCCAGTTCTTTAACACCGAATCAGCTGCTAGGAAAGAATTCTGAAACACTTGAAGTTCCATGGCACAGACCTCATGCAATTCTTCTTCACCTAGGAGAGCTGGATTGTTTCGTTACAGGGCAGGCACCATGTTACAGCTGGAGGTCTCTGTAGTGAATTCCATCTCTTCACTAAGTATAAGTCTGATTATATCTGCCCTCTAAATCATAGTTCAGTACATATAGTCATCATCTTTACATCTACTAAACGTAATGGCAGCCTAATCTGCAGGTATATGGAAGTACTGTGTAATTTGCAATGGTGCTTACAAATAAGCCCCAGTATGTTCCTATATAATTAAAGGCTGGGGACAAGACATTTGTGCCCTGCTCTTAGTTGTGTATTTTTTTTCTAGGTGGGGTCGCATGGTTAAATCATGGTTATCCTAAAGCATGGTCCGAATCCTTTGGAAATCTTAGACATAGTCTGCGGACCCCAGGCTGAAACTCACTGTCGTAAAGCATGGTTGAAGTCTCTCATGCTGTTTCAGTGCCAGACACTATAAGGACACACAGACACACACATTCACACTCTCATTCTTTCTGTGTAATCCTCCACCAAGATTAAAATCACCATGTCCTAGGTCGCTCAATCACAGATCAGGTTTTCTACTCTAATACAGCCCTTTATCCTTTGTGTTAACCTCGTCCTGCTCTTGTTGGGGAGGAATAGATGAAAGAGAGTTCCCCATATTTGTCTGTAGGGGAAGCACCAGCACATAATATTCCATTCTGGAAACGTTATGAACTTCTACTGGCTGGAAATATGTATACACCTATATGTGTATGCACCTATATGGTAGCAGCTGAAAGCCTGTGGAAGGACATGCTTTGACCTTTATCTGACTCAGGTAAATCAAGAGGTTTCAAGGATTCTTCCTTCATCTCCCTATTATGGTTGAAAAACAGCAGGAAGCTGCCAGAGGAACCCATACTAAGTATTCCAGAGACTGGAACTATCCAGGGAAGACAACGTGATGGATGTTTGAAACTGGGACTCAGACATTGCTCAGGAAGGAGCTCTGAAAACTGGAATATGAAACCAATTATACGCATGGACCCCTTCCTTCCCCCCCCCCCCCAGTGCTTGGGTTATGTGTGCTTGAATACAGAGAGCAAATTAGACTGTTGAGCAGAATATTGTGTCTCAGTCAGTCTGTTAGTTTTATCGTCTGGCTCAACGTGATTACAGAGCTACCTGGTTTGAACTGAAACCATGGTTTGGATCTCAGATAGAAATACGGTTGTTCTCCAAAGAGATATAAAGGGGCTGTATTTTGTTCCCCATCAGTCAAAGCAGTGTATAAACCTCACACAGACGGCCTGCTCCCTTCCCAGGACACAGCAAGACGGTGGCGTTAAACAGCTGGGATGGGCTGAATCTGCTGCAAAACTGGCAGCTCATAATGGTGATGGGTGAACTTCAGAAGGGCTGGGAGTGTGTCTCCATTTAGATGCGTGTGGCTGTTATCAGTGTAGTAATGAGGTGCTGATTGAAATGTATCCCACCTGCTCAGGTCTAGATGCTGAACTAGAAAAAATCTCAGGAGTCCAGATTTGTGTGAGATTCCCAGTGGTTTCTGGTTGTGAAATAATAGCTTCTGCATTCAAGATATCCTGAGCTCAAGATACCTGTCAAATGCTGGGGCAGATCCTCAGCTGGCGTTGATCGATATAGTTCCCTTGACTTCACTGGAGATACATTGATTTATAGCAGCTGAGGATCAGGCCTGTTAGGTCAGTTGACTACCATGGCGATGGGGTAGAGCCCGTGTAGACAGAACTCCTTGCTGGCCACTGGCTTTTTAACCACTGGAGTGTCCGCTCCTGTTCACAGGAGGTCTACACGCTATGGTGAAAATAACTCCACAGTTCCCAGTGGTCTGGCTGCACTAGCAATCACTGCATTGGTAGCAGCGGGAGATTTTTAGGATAAGGCTGGTGCACACATGGCCTGTGATACTGAAATTGTGGGAAGAGTCTATTCCAAGTGTGCTTTTATAAAGCACAAACTGAAATTTCAAATCCTGTCTCATCACCAGTCAAACAGGAAACTATCCATATGTGGAGTAAAGCCTTTTGGTAACGAGGATCAAATTGAAAGGCTGCCTACCGCACTCAAGATTCCCTGGTCAGGTCTCCTGTTCAAATACTAGCCAGGCCGTGGACGGTTTAGTTTCCAAGGTCAGACAAGATCAGGTGCATTCAGTCCAATATGGCCATGAATATCAAATTGAAATGGATGAAAGATAGCAACAGTTCCACCCCGTGTTAGTCACAACACTGCAGCATTCTTCTTGTGTGAAAACCACACCTGATTCAAGTGATGATGTTACACGTGCTGCATGGGCAGAGCATTAGCTTGACTGACTTCTGGGCAACTTTGACAGCGGGGGTAATTCCTACCATACACGTAGTGATGGGTGAACCTTCAAAGGTGTGGAATATGGGTTTGAGTCAGAGGAACACAGATTTGAGCTGCTTATCCAAACCGTGGGCTGCAAGTCTCCTGAGAACAGGCTTCTTGGGAATATTTCTGCTCCAGGCTGACTTTAATCAGCTCTCAGCCCATGATTCACTGGGTTCTGAAACTCACCAGCCCTGCCAGCAACTCTGATTTGGCTTCCCCTCCCAGTGGCAGAACCAAAGGGAGAGGCCCTGCTCCTGTATGAGCCTTGGAATAGTTCAGGGAACTACTACATACAAGGTCATCCTCAAAATACCAAGAAACCAGGCTCTTGCGTGTGTCTGCACCAAGCACTGCAGTGCAAGGCCTGGATATAATGGGGTAGGGAATGTGCCCGGAGCTCTTTCAAAGTTTTGATCAAGGCCTGGTGTTGGTTTGAGTTGTGTGTGAAGGTTCAGCTGGCCCCGCGCTAATCCGAAAGCACCAGAGAGAGCTGGGAGAAACCCGCTTGCCAGTTTATGCTGGCGCTGCCCACATAATGGAGCCTTGTCAGGGTAACACGCTTCCTCCAAACAGTATGACCTGAAACAGCTCTTTATGATGTGTATTGGCAGTGAGTCCTGCTGTGATCTCATAGGAGCAGGCACGTGTGTCTGAAGTGCTGGGTACAGGCTGCGGGGTGCCCAGTAGACCCAGCCGTGTGTGGCTGTAAAAGAAAATGTGAAAGGAAGTTATTCTTCAGTGTTGTATTGACTGCTGGAAGATTTCACCAGGCTGCAAAGCAAATTTCCTTCTGTTTGCACCCTGAGGGGTTCCATCTGTGCTCAGTGCTAAGACTCTGATGCCAGGGGCCAGGTTCCTAGTGTGTATTTTGGGCACCATCCTCTTCGCTTGAGTCATTAAGGCTCCAGGGCAATCTCAGACGAAGGGGCACATGCCAGGGATCTTTTCTACCCCATCTAATTCCCACCTCCACTGTGTCCTGGAAGTTTTACGAGCGGCCTGTGAGCAATGCCTACCTTTCAGAGAGTGAAGCGCCGAGCTCCCCTGCTGTTTATCAGCTAGCTGCTGATTGGATTTATTAAAAACCCAGGGGTACTGCAGCCCAACAATTCCTGAGCAAAAACAATGGGGGCTTTTACACCGGTGAGCTAATAGGGACACTGCCAGGTTAAAAACAATGGGCCAAATCTTTAGCTGGTGTAAATAGGCATGTTTCCGTTAACTTCAATGGGATTGAGCTGAGGAGGACCTGGCCCCATGTATTTTAAAAGTAAATGGTCCTAAGCTCTGCTGTAAACTGGTGGGGTTCCAGTGGAGTTAATGAAATTGTGCCGATAGCATCATCGAAAGATCATTTGCGCCAGATCCTCCACTGATGGCAAACAGCACCGTAGATAATGAAACCTGATTGTGAAAAAAAATATTTTAATAAAGTCCTGCCCTGGACTTTGTGTATTGAAATGCTGCGGCTGCTGAGTTAGGCCCAGTCCTACAATGTGCAGAGGAGGACTGGTCAAAAATGACATGGATTTTCCACATAAAATTCAAAAGAAACAAAGCCTTTTTTTCTTTTTTAAATTTCAGGCAGAATTTTTCAACTTTTCATCTAATTGTAATGAGAAATTTCATGTGCATTTGCTCTGAAACAAAAACATTTGTTTTGATTCTATTCAAACCAATCAACCAACCATCTCTTTCTCTCTGGGGAGCTTTTAGCACTCCTCTCCCTGTCTTTCTTTTCCCCCTCTTGATGGGAGAGAAGCTGGCGGGGGAGGGAGAAAGAGGCAAAAACCGGAAGTAATTTGGTTTCAATTCACAGTGAAAGCTCTCGTTTTATTTTGATGGAACAGCTGAACATTTCAAATGATACGACAAATTTACAGGGATTTTGTTATCATCCAAAAAGTCATTTTTCGTCACAAAATCTTTAAGGGAGCTCAACCAGCTGTGGTGCTGGATGAGTTCTGGTGGGGCTGAGTTCTCTGCCTTTTCACTGACATGAACAGCACTTGGGAGGACTCGCAGCATCGAGCGCTCAGTAAGTCCTGCGAATAGTCCTGGAGTGACGTAGCGCCAAGGCGCTAAGAGGGAAAGCCCTCCCCGAGGATGTGGCAAGCTCCATAAAAATAAAGATTTTGGAAATATTTAAGACTTTATATTTGAAGTGGCTTTGCAAAACTTGGCAGAGGTCTCACAGCTGAACTGTGACCCAAGCCAGCAGTGGGGGTGAGCTGAAGCAGAATAATGATCAACCGGGGACAAAGCCTGCCAGAAGCGAGAACAGTAAAAGAGGCCTGAGGTGTGGTTATAGCCAACAATGTGACTGTAGGTTAATGGCACTGTCTTACTCAGCAGCTCTGCTCCCTGGGTGACTTTGAGTCAGATCCGTTTCTTCTACTGACAAAGTATTCTCACTCCTGCTAGCTTTACAGGGCCAGCTCAGCCATGAAAGAGCCAGCTGAATTCAGGTCAGAATTGTCCTCAGGGCAGAAGCTTTGAGAGAGGTCATCATGGCAGCCTTCCCTCCAGACCAGACCGCCCAGCTTTGGATCCTCAGGGCATCCGTACTGTTCCAATCAGGGGTGTTGGAACAATTTTTATAGCAAAAAGAAAAGGAGTACTTGTGGCACCTTAGAGACTAACCAATTTATTTGAGCATAAGCTTTCGTGAGCTACAACTCACTTCATCGGATGCATAAAAGTGGAAAATGCAGTGAGGATGTTTTTTATACACACAGACCATGAAAAAATGGGTGTTTATCACTTCAAAAGGTTTTCTCCCCGCACCCCACTCTCCTGCTGGTAATAGCTTATCTAAAGTGATCACTCTCCTTACAATGTGTATGATAATCAAGGTGGGCCATTTCCAGCACAAATCCAGGGTTTAACAAGAACATCTGAGGAACA